TGCAGTGCTTGTTCTTCCACTCACGTGTATACACGTATTAACTACTATCCAGCGAAGGAAAGATAATCCAGAACTTGTCTCCCGCAGAGGGTAAGAACGAGCCTTTCCCAAAGAGCAATACAGCATTCCTCTCCTTCTTGCGTCGGGCACAATGTAGTTTGGCGGCGATTTTCCCGTCGAGTGGTGCGGCAGTCGACTATCTATTCTCTTTTTCAGTGGAATTTCGTATAGGTGAGCTGTCTGTCTGGTCTCGCTGTAGAAAAGATGTGAAAGAAGTTTGGGACTGCCGTGCGGTCGGAGGGGGTTGGGTTTATTGTCGGATGAACGAGATTTTAAAGAGAAGGGAGGAGCAGAGAAATGAATGTGACGCTTCGCTCGGTGGTTCGAGAATGCAGTTTAATTGGGGATGATGGTGCAAAAGAATAGGAAAACTCCCGCACGAACCTCGAGTTTTTTTTTGTCTGGTTACAAAGTTTTCCCGTGGTGACTTTTGACACTTTTGACACGACGAGGACACATTTTTAACGAGACAATGAAATTTTTATGAAAAATAAGTATGCAAAAGTTTTCAGGACAATAATTGTGAGAATCATCGAATGGATTATAAACATGATTTTTTGACTAGTGCAAGGTTACAAACAGGTACGACATAAACCACGACAACAGTCGATAAAAAAGGAAAATCAATAAGTGTTCTCATAAAACTATTGAAATTTGTTAACATTACTCCCGTGCAATCACAAAATCTTTGATTTTTTTTTTTTTTTTAAGTTTCAGTTTGTTGTGGACAAGCCAAGGATCTTACAGCTGTGGGCTGAATTGAAAAAAAAAACTTTTACTGACCTCCCTGGAAGCAACGTACACTTGTTCCCTTACAGCTATTAAACTATCTCCAGAAACGTCACACCCCAAACTTCTAGACACCACCAAGACGGTACATGTACGGCTTGCGTGACTCGTAGCGCGCGTGCATCGCTCACAACGTGGCAAGAGCAAAATAATTTGAGAACTTAATTGTCGGCGTTACTGCTGCTGTTGCCGAGGAGTTAATTTTCGTACGGCCAAGCAATTAGTTGTTACAGAGGGAGAGTGGAACATGGGAGGATTGTATACATGTACGTTGGACATGATGCTTTGTGCTCCGAACGATTAGATCGCATCTTTTACAAGAAAGAAAGGTAGTTACGAGAATCAGTTGTCAGAGACATGAGGAAAAAAACGATTAATCAGCTAGGAAGTTATCTTGACATGCATATCGATGAAAGTACGATGGAGGTGTAAAATAAATTCAGGTACGTATAGAAAGCCCTGTAGGATGTTGGAATTGCTTTCGTCTTTTGCCTCGAGAGTTGAAACTTTACTGGTGTGCCATTCTTATGTACGAAACGTGTTTGAAAACCAGACAACTGACGGCAACAGCGTCAACGATTATGGAAAATCAAACGCGTCAAAAGGTACGGTGATTTCAATGGAACTTGCCATCGTCTGTTGGATTTTTTTTATTTTATCGAGAAAATGTACGTAAGGCTTAGCAATGGATGAGAAACAAGTGAAGTACTTTGAATTCTATTTTTATCAAATTCAAGTGACCCTTTGTCCTCTACACCTTTTTAATTTAAGAAATGAACGTAAAATATCATACTTACCTCAATAATCATCTCCGTTACCACTACCTTTAAAATAATTGCCTCGCCATTTCATCAGTACCATCGCTCAAGGCCGGGAAACAAACGTACACTCCTAATCTAATTTGATTATATCTCTGATGAGCTCCCTTTTTTATTCTTTTTACATTCCTTCTCCATCTGCCCACTTTGAGTAAAGCTTTCCATCTTTAATTGCCTACCCCTACATTCCTCATCCCAAAGAAAATCGAGAGTTGGGTGATGGGGAGGAGTAAGAGATAGGAGGGAAGGAGGGTAGTTAATTAACAGCAGCAGAGCGTCCCTTTTCCTCCACCGAACTATTTTTCTTCTTTTCAAGGTGGAAAAGCGAAGAAGGGATAAAGGGTTTTTAATTTTCAACGTCAACGACGTGAGTATTAGACATCTCGTCCACAATCCATGTCACCCTGATTTATAGTGTACCCATAAGTTGTACGTGTGGATGTAAGGGAGTGGAGAAGATTGAGCTTGTACCTTCTGAACTTTGACCTTAGGGACGACGTGTTTATACGCATTTACCTTGGACTGTTCGCAATAGGATTGTCACGTGGTTTAAGAAATATTAATGGTCTTTTGATTAGCAGTTGAATCACGCGAGACTTTTTCACTGCTGTATTTTTGGGGTGTAGGTGGGTGGATTCGTAGTAGAGGAGATCCTTGTGTGGGTTTTGTTGATACACTAAATGGGTGATAGTTACTGATCATGTTACAGGAATGAACGACTTAGTAGTTTTCCAAGTATAGACCTTGACGCTTTTATTGGACGTTCCTAAATGAATTGCTTACTGAGACATAAAAAGTAGATGCGTTGTTCTGAAATTTTATAAAAAATAGGCCAAAGTCTTTCATAAAATAGCCCCTAAATAAGCTATAAGAAAAATTGTTCTTCATACCAATGAAATATTTTGTGTACCCACGAAATAAAAAAAAAAGTTTGTTCACAGCAAACCATAGCCGGCAACCTGAAAATTCAATCGGGAAAGCCCACCGCACGTGCCACGCGCTGCTTCCTATCGATAACGCGCCAACTGCCTTCGTGTAACAATTCGCACCCGTAGCATTCTGTTTCGCGAAAATATCACGTAGGCATGTCTGCAGAAACGTGGAAAGGGAATCTTTCACCTTGCCCTTTTCGCAAAACGATGTTGCGGAATATACTGTCGCTGTTGGTGCTGTTGCACCGTCCCTTCCCCGTAAATCCGATTTGAATTGGTAATGCACGTGTGCTCGTTGTATATTCCCACGAAGCGTAGAAGAAGGTTCAGGTAAGAGCAGGAGAGAGTTGGTCACGTTCCCCGCGTAAAGCACGATTTTCGCCGCTGTGCACCCATCGCTGTAAGGACCTTTTCTTGGAAGAAGACGAAGGTGAAGAGAAAGACAAGGGAAAGAGAAAGAAAAAGGGAAGAAAGTTATGGAAAGGGATGATCTGAACGTCGAGTGTTGGCGTGGGATTTACTGCCAAATAACATTGATACGGGAAAACTATCGTAACTGCTAGTCTGTACGATCTGAGTAAAAGGAGAGATATTAGGTTGGGGATCGAAATTATGGATTTTGATGTGCGAGAAGAGTGGATCAACATTGTTCTTGTGTGGTTGAAAAGATAAATGTTTATGGCTTTCTGACACTCTATTTCGCTGTGGCTTTCATTTTTTTTTTTTTTTTTTATAATTTTCATGTGGAGCTTGAGCGATTTATTCCCATGAAGCGTCGTTGATAAATATGTGGTTGAAAAATATAATACGTGGTTGAAAAATACAACAACATTAATATTAATGATAGAAGAAGTAGGTGTACTGGTATCGATAATTAGCAATAATTACTTAAGTTTATCGTGGATTTTCCATTATAATGATATGAGTAATTACAGTCAAATATCATGTCATATAGAAATGGTAAAAACAAAGCATTAAACTTACGGTAAAGTATATCATAGAACAATTATTTGATTGGAAGTATAAAAAATGTTGAATATACATTTTTCAAACACTTGAGAACATATAAAAGATCAAGCATTGTAATAGTGGTACATAAAGTGAGCAGGAAAACGAATGAGTGGGCATGCGAAAGGGGGAGTCATGAATAAAGAAGAAGCGGAGATAAATCTCGGTATCCGTGCCACGTCTTCGTTGCTCTATTGGATTTGGTCATTTTTATAGTAAAGCGGATACTCTACAAATCTCTTTGACGCGGAAACGGTGACGAGGACGATGATCCACTAGCTTACTATCGCACGCTCACTTCCCCTTTCTGAGAGTTTTATCGCTCTCTCTTGCGCACAGACTGAGTGAGATCGATGGTCGTTACTCGGCTCTTTTTTTTCATGGGATTCTCATCCTCCCTCCCTCCCTCTCTAAAGTCCTTTTAAAGAACTCGTGATACAACTTTATTTTATTTTGTTCGCAAACTCGTTTAGTCGCCAACTCTTTTTTTTTTTTTTTTTTTTTTTTTTTTTTTTTTTTTTTTTTTTCTTTTCAAGGGGAAAGGGTTAATTTTGCTATTTACTCGAGGGATTGTTGTGTCGCACTCAAAGTTTTTAATTGTAGAATTATCGTGCTCACAGTTGGAAAATAACAAGCTGAGGTCGTACCAGTGCTAGAGGCCCAATTAATTTGAATCTTGTACAGTGGAGACTTCACGTACCTTCATCTAACTTTGATTTCCTAAGTTTACTAATTTCTGGGGATGAAAGAAAATTAAATTAGCCGTTTAATTGATTCCCTTCCATCTCTTGTCGAGTTATTTCTTTGGTTTTGGTAATTATTTTTCTCATCAGGTGAAGAATTACGTATACGCATTAGTAATTGGAACAAACGAGAAAGAGCGTACATTTTTTGCGTATATCAGCAGGAATGAAGATGTAATTACGCGCTTTCATGCGAATGTGAAAGCTATTCGGCAAGCATCGTTTTTTTTGCAATTTGTATAACGTTAAATGCATTTTCACTTGAAGTTCATCAACTATACTTGAAAAAACTTGAGTGCATTCTGTGCTTTTCTGAATTCTCGTTTCGTTATCAGTTACTTTTTCTATGTTTTCGTAATTTATCACTGGAGTGTAGATTTTTTAATTTATTCATTAGCTATTTAAATGTTTACACTTAGAACTGTTTGTACATAAAATTTGTCAGATCATTCTCACAAACTACAAGCGTGATTTTTATTGATCTTCTGGATTACTTAGTCGAATTACAGTTACGTTGATAGTCACTGCTTGAAACAACCAAATAAAAAATAGATGGACTGGTTTTATTCGAAATCCCTGTTTTTTTAAGATTTGTTTAAGAAGAAAAGTATTTTGAAAATTATCATAAATATAAAAAAAGGAAAGCTTACCAATCGTTTCCTGTCTTGGTCATGTTTTGTCGTTTGCGGCCTGTTTGATGCAGCTTTGGCTCTGCTACCATATTGACATCTTAAACAAGAAAAATACCAATGTTTGCAATCTTCTGAGTTGATCGATCAGACAACCACTATACATTTTTTTATAGATTTATTCCACTAATTACACTCAAGTATTTAAACACTCGAGTGACAAAGACTTATTATTATCCTTAGTTCTCTCACCCTATCTATAACCCACTCAACCTGTTGTCTTTTTTCTGGCCTATTGTATTGTATAATCCTTTTGTATTTCTCCTTCTACCCTTACCTCTGCTTACACCACGAGCTTCCAAACTGCTCTTTACTTTCTTTTGTGCTTGAATGTGTCCTTGTTTCTGATTCGAGTTTATTTGACAATATTACAACCCTTGCGTGCAGTGCCTCGCATTTGCACATGGAATATTTTGTGTTTTGGAAATTTTAAGGATTTTTTTACATTTTCAAAAGAAAGTAGAATAGTAATAAAAATGATCGTGTTCAATATTTTTTTGAAATGAAATTTTTTGTTGTTGCTTTAAATACAGTAATGATTAATAATATAACTTCACACCCTCAACACTTGCATTGAAGGAAGGATATAGTATTAAGGCGATCCCAGTAAAAAAAATTTTCTAATCTCTACTGGCTTTTTGTTTACATTTAACTTCTAATACCGCGTTTATACACTTGCATAAGTGCTTCCAACTCTAAATATTTCCGAATTCATCGGCCTACGATAGGAGTTTGCTAAAATGGTAGGAGGTTCTTTGTGTGGAATTAAATCGAGACCATACACACTATCGTATACACGTATGTACATTTCATTGTTCTGTCGTTGGGGCGGTATGCGTGAGTAGCCTGCAACGGTATTGAATCGTTTGCGTTGATTGAAACTTGTATGAAAGCATACATGCTTCATTCGACGATTTGCAGACTTAACTTGACAGAGCAAATATTACAGTATGCTTTGGTCATTTTCTTTGCGTGCTTTGCATCACAGAGAATGTGGAGCAATTGAAGCAGCTGATACACTTTTAGGAAATTCTTTACATACTACTGATAGTGACAGCGATCAAACGGTTAAACGTTAATATGATACGTAATCGAAAAATAAAACCATTTAATGTAATTCAAAATCTTTCAGAAGTATCAACCGATATATTTTATGAATCGTTAATTGACGATCACTATCCCAACAGACCTAAGGAATTGGAATCTCTATGTTCGCATGACTTTGCCAGGCATTTTGATACATCGAAAGAACAACCAAAACGTAAGATTGAATATTATAAATTGTCAGATGATTTATATTACCAAAAACGCAAGAAAGCTTATTTGATAAATCACTATCAGTTTAATCCTGTAAATGAACCAAAGAAGTACTACTTTTCACTCTTGTTATTATTTCAACGGTGGAGAGATACAGATAAATTAAAAAGTTCTGAAGAATCTTTTATACAAGCATTCAGAAAAGAGCAAGACTCCTTATCAAACGCTATTAAATATCATGATAAATGTGCAATCATACAACAGGCTATGGATAACATGAGTAAGTTAGTTCAAAATCAAATAGAAAATAGTGAAGCAGATCCATCAACAGATTCTGCTGACATTCCAGAAGGGTGTGTACCTATTGAAGTAAAAAATGCTATGAATGATTTTGTAGCAGTTGGTAAAATTGCAGTTACTAATCATGAAGAGTTACAAAATTCAATTGGAAAATTTAATGCAGACCAACTAAGAGTCTTCAATAAAATTACTTCTACTGTTGAATTTAACGATAAAGTTTTGCAAATATTTGTGAGTGGTCCTGGGAGTACAGGAAAAAGTTTTGTTATTGAAAATCTAGTTACCTGGAATAAATTATGCTGTGGCAAAGATACAGCCGTTACAGCTCCTACCGGAATCGCAGCGTATAATATTAAAGGACTTACAATTCATAGACTACTGTAACTCCCGGTAAAACATGGTGGTACTGCAAAATTTAAACAGTTATCCAAGGCTGCAATAAAACAAATCAGACAAACTTTAGAAAATGTTGATCCGATCATAATTGACGAAATATCAATGGTGTCCAATATTACTTTTATGTTCATTCATTTGCGGTTGACAGAAACATTTGACACATCTGACATTGAAGACCGATGGTTTGGGAAAAGAAACGTACTTGTATTAGGAGATTTACTTCAGCTTCCTCCAGTTCATGAAGATTTTGTGTTTGTTGAAATTAATAAAAAGCAAATCGATAAGTACATTAAATCTATGTGTACATTTGATTTATGGAAATTATTTGATTACGATGAATTAACAATAAATATGCGACAAAAAAATGATAAACTGTATTCTGAAATCTTATCCCGTATTCGATTAGGTTTTATGACAAACTCTGATGTAGAAATTCTACAAAAAAGAGTATTAAAATTAACGAACAATGATTATTCGAATAATGTCCAAGAATTGTGTAATTACTTACACAAACTACCTGTCGATACAGTTTGTTTGTTACCCACTAGAAAAATGTGTGATATCCTAAATAAAGCCATGATGCTAACAATTAATTCCGAAGAAATACACCTTATTGCTAATGATACGTTTCAATGTCCAAAACAGTTGCAGAAAAAGATAGTAAACATTTTAAATGAAGATGTTGATAACTTGTGCGGTGTAGATCGTACTATCACAATTAAAATTGGTTCTAAAATAATTATAAGGAGAAACATTGATGTTAATATAGGCTTAGTTAATGGCACCATTGGTTCAGTTGTTTCTATACTTAAAGATAGATCGCACGACATTATCAGTATACGTATTTTATTACAAAGTCGTAAAGAATACCACATGGCTCGAATGGAATATAAATTTATTGTTATGGACAAAATATCCATAACACGACAGCAATTCCCAATTTTTAATAGTTACGGTATAACTATTCATAAAAATCAAGGTTTGAGTTTAAAATATGTTGTAGTCGAAGCAGGTAATAGTATTTTTAGTGATGGACAAACGTACGTTGCGACATCTCGAATTACTACACTCAACGGTTTGCACCTCATAAAATTTGATCCTTCATGTTGTGTTGCAAACGTATCAGCTACACTTGAATACAATAGGTTGCGAACAAAATATCGCCCAGATCTAAATAGTTTTGCCATCCCTCCGGATCGCAGAAGAATTCTGAACTTAAAAGTTTTAGTAAATAGGCTATAGATAAAAATACAATTATAGCAGATTCAGAAAATAACATAAATTCTATGTTTGAGAGTACTTGGAATACATTTTGGTTACTAAACACAGATTCTGCTTCATCTTATGCTAACGCTAGTTTACAAAGTTTATTTCATTCATCTACGGTAAGAAGGATCTGATTAGAGCATAGTTATAACGATATTGTGAAGACGGTTTTCAAACAATATATTTAAAAAAAAAATGTAGATATTTTATCATTATGACAGTTCGCAGACAAGCATTTTACATTACAGGTACAACAAGATGTGACAGAGTTTATAACACAACTTTGTAATCGATCACTTATATTACAAAATGCTCTTAAACATGAGATTACCGAAATTATAAGATGTCTTGGCCATAACTGTAATGATCGAATGCAAGAAGGTATACCTAGTTGTATACTGTGTCTTTTAGTTCCACAATATTTACGACCATGTACATTGCAGGAAGTTACAGATTACAATATCGGAAATTGCTATGAAATCTATGACTGCTGTAGTAATGGCTGCCAATAAAAAAAAAAAAATTAAAAAAGTAGATATTAAAATTCGTAATACTATGCTTATAACTAAGTTCTTAATTGCTGATCTCAGTAGCAGTATTACTAAAATATCTAATTTTAAAATAAATGCCTACATAAAAAATTACAATTAATGGTAAAAAAATTCAAAGTTTCAAATGAAATTTTCTACCATAGTTACATGTCAGAAGCACATTATACTAACGTACTGAGACAAAACAATTAATGGTTCCATGTAAATGATCAAACAGTTATAAAAAAATCCTGGCCTAAAAGTGCTAAAGACATAGACATTGTAGTTTTCGAAAAAGTTTAGATAAAAACGTAATTGAATTTAATATCCAGTTAATGATATGACAATTCTCTCGAAAAGTTATAATATCCTCATAAAAACTACCTTTTAAAAAAAGTAAAAATTTATTGGCAAGCAAGTTTGATGTGTTACAATTATATACCTTCACTACTTTTTCTAGTCTTAAAATAAATTTATTCACTTTCTATCACGAAAAATTAAATTTTAAAAAGTTGTTTACTATTTAATTTTTCGGTTCATCATGTCTTCATTATGAAAACTATTTTTTTCATTTTTTCTTCAAACAATATTGGCGCGAAACCGTTGAGAATATATTTTCTATCAATTTTCTATTACGCAGAAGTAATAATCTATAATACCTATACTGTTAAAACTCTTTTTTAAGTTAACATATTTACGTTCTTATTATTTTTATCTAAATTATTCTATTACATGTATTTTTGCAATAAATTTTTGGCTTTACAAAGTAATAAAATCAGTTTAAAAACATAAAGTCTAACGTTTCTTGGTAGCATGATTTTTAGAACAATATTTAGAATATTTCAAATAAAATTTGGCACCAAATTGAATTTAATTTGCACAAGTATGCTTCATATTTTGATTCTTACGATTTATAATTTATAGACTAGCAAAGTGATGAAATTCATTTTAGATTGACAAGTTTTTATGTTTAAGTGTAACATAACATTTAAAAGTATATTTGAAAATGTTTATACTCGTTTGTGTGGGTATAATACTATTTTATCAAATGAGGCTTTAGCATCATCGTTGAAAATCGTTTTGGGTGTGTAATTAACAATGTGTTAAAAATATCACAGTTGAATATTTATTACCTAGTGGATTATTTAAATCATATTGAGTACTTCATACTGAAATTGAAGACAATCATTACATTAAATAAATCAAAGGATGTGTAGTAACATTATTGTAAAATTATTACATAACTTGCCAAGCCCTTTTTTTAATGATTTAAGTTTAGAATAATTAAGTTGTTTTTTCACGAATCCTACACATAAATTTATTTATTATTTGATTTTGATCGTTAAAAATAATTAGT